CCCAAAGCTTCAGGACCAAGTGCATTTGGGGACCCAGTGTTTAGGGGCTGGGTGTCACAGAGCACCCCATAGCCAGGCAACATTCTGCTCACGGCTGTTTACATGAGCAGGATTTCTAAAGACCGTAAACAACTTCATATAGCCTGAGTTTTGCCCCTAAATACAGTTGCTGTGAACAGATGGAGAATGCAGGCTCAGCCTGAGTGGCACGCTGACCTACCCTGCCGGCAGACAGGGCCCCATGCAGCGTCTTCCACGGTCTGCCTTCCGGCACGAATGTCTTCCGTTTGCCATCAGAAAGAACAGGTTTCTTCAGGTTCAGAAAAGAAAGAAGACAATACATCCAGCCTCTGCTTCATCCGGCCTCCTCTCCTTGCCGCCATTGGCCTCTTCTCTGCCCTGGGCCTTGATTCCATGCTTCACATCACAGTCTCTGATTTCTCTGGCTTCCACCTTTCTCTGTTCTCTTAAAACTGTCCTCCCGGGGTCAGCAGGTGGTGTGGTGGTTGAAGCACTGACTCCCTCACATGGCTGGCCATGGTTCAGTCCTGGACTGGGTGGCCCAAAAAAATCACAACAAATACATACATAAATAAGTAAATGTTAAAAAACAGCTGTCCTCCCAGATGTCTTAAGAAACTGCTCCACAAAATGTCAGTGTGCCTGTGATTTCTTTTGTTTTTGTAAGGTTTTTTTTTTTTTTTAAATTTCATGAAAGAGAGAGAGGAAGTAAGAGAGGGAGGGAGGTGCCCTTGATGGAGTCACGCCACCATGTGGTGACCCTCTCCCCAGCCTCCCAGCCAGCCAGGACCACGGCACATGCAGTTTGCCTGGTGTGTTTAGGCTGACACAGGACCCGGACCCAGGCCTCTTGTGGCTGTGGTATCGCGCAGTGGTGCCCTGCCACCTGCACCTCTGCACTAGGCCTGTTCGTTTCATTCTGCCGTGCACTGAGTGCCAGACTTCCTGCCGCTCTCCGAGGTTAAGGTGTGCTCTGGTCTTTACGATGTCTCTGACCCCCTCCTTGCCCAGCCCCTCTTTCTCGGAGCTCCCTCTGGCCTCTGCGCCTCTCTCTGCCCTCTGTTCTTGGCCTTCATCAGGGGTTCTTTTCTGTGTGCTCTGTCACCTTTCCCGCTGTAGCAGTGACTGCTGGGCTGCTCGGCCACATCTTGAACTGTTCACTGTCTTTCCTCCCTTGTATCTGCCTGACTCCCTCTGAACTACACCCTGGCCACCTCATCCTTGTGGGCCTCTCTGTGTCCCTCGTCCTCCCTCCACTCCACTCTGTCATCCAGGCTGTGGCAGAATCTAGTGCAGGTTTCCTCAGCTCTGCTGTCCACAGCTCAGAGGCTTCGATGGCTTCCTGTGTCCCCTCGGTTGTTGCCCAGCAGGATTCGTTTGTTACTGTTACTGTCGTACAGACGTTATGGGGACACGTCCTCACCGTGAAAACGAGTGATGCTTTGCTACGCGGCAACGTAGGAGATCCTGCCGCCTCCTCCAGGTCCCTTCCCAGACCACTTCCATATTCATATGTTTAATTTCATCTCTGCTTTTCCCTTCTTGTTTTTAACCTGGGCGAGATTACACTGGATGGGTTGTTGTTGTTCGTGATTTGCTTTCTCACTTGTAGCCTCTCTGGGTGAGTAGAAGTGGGTTGACCCACTTCTTGCTGTGGTGCACTGTGGTGCCCAGCTGGAACTCATCCCTCACTCACTCTTCCCTCTCCTGGTGGACAAGGACCTGCCCACAGGTTCAGCCTTTTGTGCCCAGGGCCGTGCACCAGCTTCCCTCCACTCCCGTTGTCTCCTACACTGGGTTCCCGCCAGTGGATTGTAGTGAGCTGTCTGCGTCTGCATTTCCCCTCCCACTCCCAGGACGGGCCTGGCCTGCCTCCTTACCGGCACTGCCACCAGCCATGCCATTTCCTTCTCCCAGTCCAGAGCCTGGTCTCAGGACCCTTCGCAGGTTTTGCTTCTGGCTGGGCCTTTGCCAGGTGGCCTTTCACCCTCCTGCCCGGTTCCAGTGGGACCTGCTCCTGGGCCAACTTGGGATGTTCCTTTTGGGCCAGGCTGGTACCTGCCCCTCTGCCTGCCAGGCCTGACTGGGACAGGCTGTGTCTCCATGCCAGGGCCTCCACTCTGAAAGGTACCCTTGGCACTGACCAACGTCATTTGGACTTGATCCCGACACTCCAGGTGCCACTGCCTGGTGGGCCACTTTCCAGTAGAGGCCTGCCTGCCCTTCTAGGTTCTGATGACTTTGAGAAAGGCCACAAATGTTGAAAACAAAATGGAATTAGGCTCAAAGAGGCAAAGGAATCCCTTTTTCACAATGTAAAGCTCTCCATGCCTGTCTGCATCCATGTGTAATTCAAGCCAGTGTCGAGAATGAACAAAAGGGACAGGACCGGGATCTGGGCAAGATAAGCAGGTGGCTCAGCCCACCCCAGACTTGCTGAGCAGCAGAGTCGCAGACATGGTGGCGCTGTGTGTGGACAAAGAGGAAGGATGTCTGTCCAAGAACAAGCAAAACTCAGGCACCAGGAGGACCTGGGCCAGGGCCTGAGATTCCTCTCCTCAACCCCGTAGGGAACTCATCTGGGAAGGGACCAGGGAGAAAGACACAGCCTGGGACCTTCTCTGATACCCTCACATACCAGCACCATCTGGTTCCTGTGACAGTTCCCATGGTATGGTACCTTTCCTGGGAGCCCCAGGCGTGCGCAGGCACCTGGCACCCTGCATGTGAAGGCCCCCCTGACAGCTGTTCATCCTTGAACTTCTCCACGCATAGGCAGGATTAACTAGCCTGTTCTGCCCAGCAGAGCAGTAGCCCCTAGCCTGCCCCTAGACCTCCCCCAGCAAGGGACCCTGAAGCAACAAGGGGCCGCCAGGCTCTGGTGTCGGGTGACAGGTGCACACCCAGGCCAGGTCCGCCCACTGCTTAGGGATGCCTACCAGATGTGATCACAGAAGCTGATGGTGGATGCATCATCCTGAGCTATCAAGCCCTGGCCACCCAGTGGCTTCTTCAAGGGCTCCGTGCTGAGCTGGCACATCTGCAGGTGAGGAATCTCGTGAGAAGACTTGTGTTTGGTGTTTTGAAATGAGGAGTTATCCAGGAACCTCAGTGCACGCAGCCCCGCCACGTCCATCCTCAGACATCCAGGAGGCCCGTTTAGGACAATAAAAGGATGTTTAGGCCACACAGTGGGTAAACACAGACACATCCCAGGCTGCAAGAGAAAAAGTCTGGGTGTATCTGAGCTTGGTGGAAGCCAGCCTGACCTGCCTGTGGGGCCTGCCATTGAAGGGCACAGGTGACCCAATGTTGCCATTGTCCCTGAAAAGGGATCCCTGAGCTGGGAGGTGGCAGGACTAGGAGAGAAGAACCCTTACCCTGCACCCCACCCCAGGCTAGCCACAAGAGGGGTCTGAGCTTTCCCTCGGGCCTAGTGGGGTGCCTGATGCCCAGCAGCCCTCCAAGTGGTAGCTATTCGCTTTAGTTAAGGAAAGTGGCAGTGGAGCCCTCCAGTAGAGAATCTAACCACAGGGTGTCTGTGGTGGAAAGCTGGCCATGGCTGCTTCCCCGTAGATCTCAGAGGCAACCCTGACCAACTGGGACCATTTTGGAGTTTTCTAATGATTTCTTCTAAGCCTTCGAATAGCATGCTTTGACTGCTGCTCCTTGATTCACTGACGTCACACATTGTCTTCTGCCTTCCTTCTTTAATAAAATAGTATTTAGCTAATCTTACCTTGTGCACCTCCCCAATAGTTGTAATGTGTTTGCTTCCTCTGCTAATGACTTTGTTAATTTAAATAATATACTTAAACTCATATTCCTTATTCTTTTTTTTTTTTTTTTTATTGTCAGAGGGTGTGTGCACTCTCCAGAGAGAAACCAAGAGGGAGAGGAAGAAAGCACCCCTAATAGGGCATGGCCACATTGCAATCCCCTCTCCTCCATTTCTTCATCCTGTCAGGATTTGGGGCATGCAGACACATGTGCCTGGCAAGTTTTTCAGGCTGCCGATGCTGGGACTCAGACTGCAGTTGACTATATGGAATCTGGCTCCCTTAACCACCAGGCCACAGGGCTGGTCCTCATATTTTTTAATTTTTTAAATTGTGTATTTAATTTTATTTATTCATTCATTTATTTTAATTTGACCACACACACACACACACAGAGAGAGAGAGAGAGAGAGAGAAGGACAGAAAGCAAGACACCAGGCCCAGGACTTGAACCGTGGTCAGCCATGTGGGAGTGTCCAGCGCCTTAACCAGCATGCCACTTGCTGGTGCCCTAATATTTCTTATTCTTAAATAGCACACTTGAACTCATGTTCTTGTTCTAAAACCTGTGGGCCCTATCTATCCCCACACAGCACACGCATGTGTACACACACACAATTTGCAGACTATCTCTTAACAGTCCCTGCTACTTTATTATTTGTTTTTAAAAGAGAAGAAAAGAAAACTTTTTTTTTTTTTAAACCAGAGTCCTTTACCAATGGTTGTGGCAATGACTAGCCTTTGTGCTAGGCTTGGAGGAGTTGCTGATGTCAGGTATTGTGGGCAGGTGCCAAACAGGTCAATATATGTTTATTTTTTGTTAGAGAGATTTTTGCTATAGGGCATGTGTGCTCACTTGAGAGAGAGAAGGACAGAGAGAAAGTGAGAATCCATGCCACAGTCTCTTCTCCATTCTCCTTTAGGGATTTTGGGCACGGCATGCACATGCATCTGGCATGAGTTGCAAGCCTCTAGGTGTGGGACTTGAACTGTGGTTGATCATGTGGAGTCCAGCACTGGAAGCACTATGCCACCTGCTGGCCCCAATGTGTATATTTTAAACTTCCTAACATTGTTAGGTTGACAGTAGTTGTGTTGTAGTGTCCCACTAACACAAGTGTCCTTCAGCTCACAGAGCAGCAAATTAACCTTGCGAGGTGTCTGGTCCAAGTGTAACTCTTAGTCTTTCTGTCTCGGTAGCCAGGAACCCATCTCCCTGGCCAGCTTTACCATGGCCGACCTAGTTCCAGACCTGCAGCACATTCTTTTCTGGATGTCTAACTCCATCGAGCTCCTGTACTTTATCCAGCAGAAATGCCCACTCTACATGCAGAGCATGGAGGAGCAGCTGGACGTCACAGGTATGGTGTTGCTACTCCCCCGTCCACAAGGACAGGGCGGGGTCATTTCAGGTCTTCGTCAGCTCCAGGCCCAGCATATGGCAGTTGTTCAGGAGTTGCAGGCTGGTGGTTTGAGCTAATCTGGAGCTCTGTCCATGGCGCCTTGGCGCTCACTCTGTCCCTTCCATTTCATGTGCTCTGTGTGGCAGAATCACCTGTTCTGCTTGCCAGGAGGCCTGGGGGTCCACAGGCCCCTCGGGAGACACAGGCCATCATGACCCAAATGCAAGGAACAGTAGAGAGAGCGCCAGTCCTCAGACTGTCCTGTGATGCGCCATCGTGTCAGGAAGGAAGAAGGTTGCCAACTGTAGGCATAAAAGTGCAGATGAATGCCAATTTCAGAGATTCAAACCTGGGAAAATGTTCAGTTTAGGATTAATGAAGTACAGTAAGAAGTGTTCTGGAAACTGCGAGAGTGTTTCTGACTAGGGCAGTCCGGGAGGGCTTCATAAAGAAGGAGGCATTTGGGTTGGACCTTGAGGTCCTAGTGGAATTTCAGCCATTATGTGTCTGCCAGGGGCTCTGTAGAGTCTGGAGCTAGCATCGGAGGGCCGGATGTGGTCACCAGGCATCTGGGGCCTGAGTTCAGAACCTCACGCAAGCAGCCTTGGTTTTGCCCACACAGCTTTGCTCTGCTCTGGCAGAAAACACCACTTAGCCCCCTCAGTGTGGGACCCCTGTTCCAGGTAGTATAGGGGGTCCTGAGCAGGTATAGCCTGGTGACCCTGCCTCTGAGGGCTCAGTTTGCAGTGAGCTGGCCTCAGGCTACCTGTCATGACTGGGCGGGAAGCATGGGCCAGGCAGCGGGAAGCATGAGGGCCTGGCTGGGCTCCCATTGGATTCTGTCCGCTGGACACTGACTGTCTCTGTGTACTCAGCTGTGTCCCTGGGAGGTGGCTGTGAGCTCCATTAGAAAAAGCCCCAAGAAAACAAGCCAGCGTGAGGTCCTGGACCAGGCTATGTTGTTGGCTCTGGGTGCCTGCAGTCCCTGATGCCTCGTGGGGTAGGCCTCCCTCTTGGAGGCTGAGAGCAATGATTGGGCATTTGCACTGTGAGCAGGCAATGTTGCAGTTGTCAGGTCAGGCCGCTGCTCGGCTTCAGGAGGCCCCGACCTCAGTCTGCAAGCAGGGAGCCCAGCCAGAGTGTGGGTCCAGGAAGTCTGTGCCAGCTGGGCATGCGGAGGAGGCTGGGCACTATGAGACTATCGGAGAGGGCATGCCTTGCACCTGCAGGGAGGAGAACCAGCTAGGGCCTGTCTGCCATCCTTCCTGTCAATCACAGTTTCTTTCTTAGGGTTTTTTAGTCCCTATTTCACAGTGAAGGGGGGAATGGGACCTTCCTCCAGGCTCTGGGGCCTGGGAGTCTGGGCTTTGTCAACATGTGGGGGGAAGCACTGGCCCTCACGGCAGATACTCCGGCCTGCTAGTGAACACGTTGGTCTCTGACCCCCATCCCCTCGGGCGGACATGAACGGTAGCCAGCTGGGCTCCCAGGAAGGGCAGCCACACACGGTCCACGGATCCTGGCTGCCAGCTGCCGTTCTCTCTGACCTTGATGTGCAGACCATACCTACCTAAGTCTCCAAAGCCAGGGTGCCCTCTTCCAGCCAGCTGCCAGGCCTGCCTGGGCCCCGTGGCACTTGGTGCTCTGGAATCCAGTGCTGCAGTCCTCACCACCTGGCTACCCTCACCACCTCTCCACAGACCTGACTCCAGCCTCCCTCTTCTCCAAGGCCCGTGGCTGCATCCCGTTGTGGCAGGAGCCATGTCCCAGACTGTGGGCAGGTTCTGAGATGAGGACCTGCTGCTACTCCTCCCATGTGGCTTTATTTCAGTGTTCAGAGGCGTGGTCCCATGTCACTGGCCTGTTCCACGTCACTGACTTGTCCCACCCACCGGGCTGCAGTGAGCCAGCCTCGCTCTGGAACCCGCCTCTGGCTCTTTTCATGGGAAAGGTTGTTTTAGGCGGATGGGGGCACTGCTGCCGACCCTGTCCTGGGAGGAAGTTGTTTTTGGTCAGGGGCCCGGGTAGCACTGAGTCAAGCTGATGGCTAGGAGAGTGACCCAGGGGACCACGTGGCCCGGGGCCACCCGCAGCTTCTGGGCGTCATGAGTGTGACAGGCACTGGAGGACTCAGGAAAAATAACATCACCCGCGGGGCAAAGGAAAGGTCTGGCCCGAGGTTCGGCCTCCTGACCTTCTGCAGGAAATGTCTGTGGGAAGAATTCTAAAGCCACAAATGTCACGTCCTGAGTGTGGTAAATAGCTCTTGTCGTTCCCCAGTCTTTTTTGTCCAAAGCTCTTACGCAGGACATCCCTCATCCTGAGGAGATGATGTAGCTGGTGTTGTGTTTAAAATCCCCCTGTATTCTCTTTGGGACTGCCATCAGCAATTTCACCTTCATGGCGTGGAGGGGGCTGGAGTTCGTATGTATCTGGAGGGGGCACCTCTTCCCGGGCCTCGGGCGCCAGGCAGAGTTGCAGGCCTGTATATCCTCTTAAAGGCTTTGTGGCGTCGGGTACTCAGACATCCCAGTGGAGTCGGGGGGAGGGATACACATTTCAAATGGTGTTTAAGACCGAGTCAGACGTGAGTGTGGCATGTGTGGAGCCGCTCTGTGGCTTTGTCCTGTGGAATCAGTGCCCACTCTTCCTCTTCCTGCCCAAACCGCTGCTC